TGCAGAAACAAGGCGAAACAATGTTTTCAGCAGCTCAGGGACCATGAAAAGGGAGGATAAGATGAATGGGCAGGCATTTAATTGACCCTCAAGTGTTCCAGTTACCAGAGAAAATAGAAATCTGCCCTTAGTTTATTCTAAAATGAGAAGGCTCAGAAATGAGAGACTTTGTGCTAAATCCTTGATAGGGTGGAGGCTGGTAGTCTCTGTGCTTCAGTATTTCTATTAATGCCCCAGGGAACAAAGCCAGGATGATGGAATGATTCACGGTGTTGTCAAATGCTGCTGTCATTTGAAATGTCACATAAAGTAACTCTAGTAGCTATCATAACTACTGTGATGTTAGCAGTTTATAGAGAGTGGGGGCTGTGAACTTCCATTTCTTATAATACTTTATGTATTAATTGTTTGTTGTGCTGGACCCCTTCTAATTTCAATGGGAACTGGCATTAGGTTCAAGAGGCTGAAGAAGAGATTGGAACCAGCGAATGAGATATAGGGCTTATTAGGAACTTACATATGGGAACGGTACAGTGGTGGCGGGCTGGGCAGGAGAACTGCAACCACTTGTAAAAAGCATGCAGTTTATATAGCACCTTCACTTGGCAGCCTCCCCCCCAGCAACATCCACTGGCAACACTCATTCAACCCACAGTGAAGGGCCTTGATTCCCCCTGCAGCTTACATTCCATGGGATAGGCTGAGATACAGATGTTCCTCATAGATAAGGAATGAGTCTCCAGGTTGGCCACTTCTGGGTTTTTTTCTTTCTTTTTTTTTTTTTTTTTTTGAGAGGGAGTTTCGCTCTTGTTACCCAGGCTGGAGTGCAATGGCGCAATCTCGGCTCACCGCAACCTCCGCCTCCTGGGTTCAGGCAATTCTCCTGCCTCAGCCTCCTGAGTAGCTGGGATTACAGGCACGCGCCACCATGCCCAGCTAAACTTCTGGGTTTTTTAACTTGGAACTTCAAACACACATTCTTCTTAAGTTACTGCTCTCAGGTGCGTCTACCGTTCATGATGTCTTATTTTTTGTATTCTTGATGCTTTGATCCTTTGGGCCTTGCTGATTCTGGAGGGACTGCCCCTTCCAGGGCTAGCCGCTTTCTAGACATAGTAAACAATTTGCCCTTGAAGAGCTGGAGCAACCCTTTTAAATGCAAACCAACCAGTCCAGGGCCCATACTTCCAACCCTCCTCTGTTGCACCTTCAACACTCAGTGTCACAATCTCCTGCCCTAATCACCGCAGGGGCCAAATACCAGACAGCGAGGGTCAGCCCCTATGCCAGAACCGACTGAAATTATTGAAATTAGCCAATCGTAAATCTGTTTACCCTCTTACCTGTGCTTTCCAGCAGAAACCACAATAACTTGTGCTTCTCTGTGCCATCCCCTCTTGTTTTGGGATCTGTAAGGATGACAAACTATCTCATCAATGGCAGTCATGTCCTGATCTGTTGGCTTTGCCTTACCTAAGTAATAATCAAACCTATATTTTAAAACAGTTTACCTTTTCTAAAGTAGAATCCAAATGAGACAATATCTGAAATGATCTCAAGGGGTAAGTGTGAATGTGGCTGTGGCCAAACGGGATTGAATGCATTGAACTAGGTGAAAAAGTCATTTAAACAACTGGGTTTATTTAAAAAATAATTTTTAAAAAAACCGGTTAGGGTAGGACATTACATACAAGAGGAAAATGTTCAGACCATATATTTCCATAGAACTCTGACTCACAGCTTCTGCAGTTGGCCCAGAACGATCAGGACTTGGTCAATGACTGCCAGCTTCCTGAATTTTCAGTCCTACCTTCATCTCGGAACTAACCAGAGAAAGCCAAATATGCTTCCCTAAACAATCAGTCACACAGAATGCCCCTCTTCTAGTTAGCTGCCTCCAGCTTCTCTGTGACAGCAACTTCCAGGGAGGGCACACCTCAGCTTTCTTTTTCTTTCACTATAAAGTTTTCCCACTTCTTATTTAGTTTTGAGTCTCTACCAAACACAAGTGATGTTGGCTGTCTCCATGGCTAGCAAAAGCTCTGAATGAATAACCTCTGTGTTTATTCTCAGTTGGTTAGCCTTTATTTTCACTTATGCTTTAATGTTTCAACATGAAATAGTGCTTCAATCACTATTTCTTTTTTTTTTTTTTTTTTTTATGCTGTCCTGCCCTGATTTTCCCTGTACCAAAGCAATCTACCTCAGCCCCTTGTCTCTCTTCATACAGGCAGAGCTAACTTCTCCTACTCCTTATAGCCCTACTCATTATTTTCGATTTTCTGCTGAAGCCTATTTCATGTTGCCCATGTTATGTGACTTTATTTTACTTCATAGTGATAATTTATTACTATAGCAACACTTTCCTCATGGCTTATACCATACCCTTATACTTTCTGTGTTTATTTTTAAATTGTTTAAAAATTTTACTTTAAGTTCTGGGATACATGTGCCATGGTGGTTTGCTGCATCTATCAACCCATCATCTAAGTTTTAAGCATTACGTATTTGTCTAATGATCTCCTTCCCCTTGCACTGAGCCCCACAACAGGGCCCAGTGTGTGATGTTCCACTCTCTGTGTCCATGTGTTCTCATTGTTCAACTCCTACTTATGAGTGAGAACATGCAAATCATTTGCTATTTCTAAAACTTGAGTCAATACATTTATGCATCAAAATGATTCCTTTTCCCAATTTCCCAGTGTGGGGCTGATTCTATCCCAACTCCTCTTTCTCCTCACAAAATTGTAGGCATATTCCAATAATCCTCCGTATTTCCTCTGTTTCATGGTTCTAATTAGTTACTAACTTCTTCTGATCTTTGTTCTCACAGACTCATCCTTTCCTCTCCATTCCAACAACCATCTCCACTACTTGGTTGCCATCATCTAACTGGTAGGTGTCTTTAGGTTTTTCTAACACTTAAACAATATTTTATTGTCAGGTCACATTTTATAAAACAACATGTAATCACAAGGGGAGGTAGCTTCTTAAAACAGTGTTTTTTCCCCCAATTCTGACAGTATATTAAAAACGGACAGGCTGGTGTAGTGGCTCACACCTGTAATCCTAGCACTTTGGAAGACTGAGGCAGGCAGATCACCTGAGGTCAGGAGTTTGAGAGCAGCATGGCCAACATGGTGAAACCCCGTCTCTACTAAAAATACAAAATTAGCCAGGTGTGGCGGCACATTTCTGTAATCCTAGCTATTCAGGAGGCTGAGGCAGGAAATTGCTTGAATCTGGGAGACAGAGGTTGCAGTGAGCTGAGATTGAGCCATTGCACTCCAGCCTGGGTGACAGAGTGAAACTCCATCTCAGAACAAACAAACAAACAACAAAAAACAAGACAAAGTTCCATACTGGACCAAGCAGTCTCTGTGAGTGGGATCCAGATATGTGTATTTTGAAAAGCTTCCTCAGGTGATTCTATATGCAACCAGAGCAGAGAATCATCATCAGATCAAGCCAAACTTTTTCTAGTCTGATAGTCAAGGCTGTCAACTTACCAGTCCCATAAATGGAAAATTTTCAATGTTTCTCAAACTTCTTCGATAAGACTAACATGTAAGTGCTTAATAAATCTCATCTTCTCTTGGCTCTGTCTCAGGTCTCAAAGCCCTTCGCTGTACAGCTTTGCAGACTATTGCTAGGTTTTTCCAGTCACAGTCTATACATGTACTTACATCTTCTACTTCAGTGTCTCAACAATGTCAGGAAAATTATCCAAACTTAGAAATAAATAAAAGAGATTACTTCATGTTTAAGCCCTGGTCTTGGCTTGACTTTCTGTTGACTGGACTATTTTACAACTCCAGTCTTCCAAGGGATGAGTGTGGGAAGTTGCAGGTAAATCAAGGGCTCCAGGTGATTCTTATGTTTAGGGATGGTGGAAACTGCAGAGTGTCTTGCAGCTTCTCAAATTTTGATATGCCTATTAATCACCTGGGGATCTTGTTGATGTACAGGATTCTGATTGAGCAGGTTAGGGAGGGGATGCTGGAGTCTGCAGATCTAACAGAGTCCTAGGGTTGTCAGCATGGGCCACACTTGAGTAGCTGCAAATGCCCATTGAAATCATGTGGGGAGCTTCAGCAACTACTGTGGCTTTTGTCCCATCTCTGGAGATGCTGATTTAATTAGTATGGGTGCAGCTTGTGGATGGAGAGCTTGAAAAGGCCCCCAGCCGAAAGCAGCTTGCTGCTACGGCTGAGAACCAATGTTGTATATAGATCCATCTCTGTGCCTGCTTTTACTGTCATGCTGTTCTTCCCATCTGGATACCCCTTCTTTTTGTCTTCATTAAACCATACCCTGCAAGTTCTACCAAGCTCTGAAGATGACTTCCTTTTCCAAGATGATTTTCTTCCTTAGCCCAGCTTGTACTATTTCTTCCCTCACTTTGATTTACTTTAGCATAAATGCATACAATTTATACTACGTTATTATCTGATAACTTATAGGTGCCTTTTAAGATATGAATGTATCCAAGTTTTGTACCCTGAAACTTTGCTGTAGGGCTTTTCAGACAGTGACTAGATTTCTCCAGTCACTGTCTATGCATACATCTACTTTGGTGTCTAAACAATGTCAGGGAAAGTATCCAAACTTAGAAAAAAACAGAAGGGATTACTACATGTTTAAGCCCTGGTCTTAGCTTGACTTTCTGTTGACGGGACGATTTTACAATTCTGCAGGGGCATAGGTTAATTTGTTAATTTTGTCTAGCAGAGATGCAAATAATACCTGTCTTGGAAGTGCTAACCTCAGGTTGTGGTAAGACATTAGTCAATTTCATATGTAACCCAGCAATCTTAGTCTAATATTCGTTTATTAAAATGGCTATATATATCTCACTTGTTCCTTCATTAATTAACGAGTTGAATAAAACCTTTGTCATATCATTCACATGAGAGTCCCGATTTTACCTTTTAAAAATGTTTTAAAACGCTCAAATGCTTAAGTAGGAGTTTAATCAATGCACTGTTAAATTAATTGAATTGATGAAGCAAGTGATAAAGTTTTATTTCTGGAGAGACAATACATCTTGCAAGTGTAAAACAGAATAATCAATAAATGAAATAACATGTGAAAAACCCTAAGTAGTAATAATTTCAGGCAGGAACAAGCCATGCTGATTTGGATGTTCTAGTCATGGATTATGAGGGTAATCACTCAACAGACATCTTCAGCTGCTTTTCTCCTCCCTGTGCATTTAATCAATGAAAATAGAGGTTCAGAATGAAATGTCAATAGTGGGAGGAGCCACAGCAATGGAATCGAATAATCAGTTCAAATCTTGGCTCTGTGCTCAGTAGCTGTTCTCTGTAAATTGAAGTTAATAAATCCCTATGAGAAGTGTCTGGTATATAACAAGTGCTCAATAAATGTTAGTACTCTTCCTCATGAGCAACTCGGAGGATAGGAGGAGGACAACTGCAGCCTGGATTGGAAACCTGAGTTATGGAGAAAGAGTTAAAATGACTTAATACTGTTTATACAGGGCCATAAAAACACCATCTGCGAGCTCCAGCCAGTTAAGCTATTACAAAGCTGACATGCACTAATGCTACACTGATAGGAAAGGAATGGCCAAAGTTTTGCTGTTTCTATCATTATTCGATGAGTTGCCATCTCGGGACCAGTTGCCAGTTTACCCATCACATAACCTGGTTGTTCAACGTTTAAAGATTTATTTTGGTCCTTAAATATTTATACTCTTCCCCCAACCTTTTATTGCTATAGTTACTGCTGGAGAAAAAACAAGACTCAGGAGGTTACTGTGTGGTATATCAGCAGTTCTAGGCTTTATCATTAGATTGGGGTATGTTTTATGTTGAATTAGACTCAGATGAGTGGACTAATATTAAACTCTCATTTTGCACGATGAGGCTAGATGTGCCTTGGAGAAAAGGATAAGGTCTATTCCTTTTCATATTATCAGTCAGTGAAGAAAAGGCCACTTGCTCTGTAATGCACAGCTGATCCAGAGGTGAATAGCAGCAGATTCTGGACCTTGGGCGGGGGGTGGTTTGCCTCCAATAAAGTATGCAGCTGAAGGTTGTCCCAGTGGTAGAAGTGAGCTCAATGATTGCTCCTGCTGCCTCTCATAACACCTGCATTTGGCTCCTTGGTACCCATTAGGCATAATGAAGAGTTGATTCCATATCCCTGGGACATTTGGCCTCATTTGGATGATTAAAGAGAATGAAATATATATCCCAGACACCTGCCTACTTGCAATAATAATAGCCTATATTTACATAATATCTTTCTCAAAGAATCTCAAAGTCCCTTGTCTTTGAAAATCTATTTCTGATAGGGAGGGTAAGATAATTTTATTTCTCTTTTGCAGAATCTTTGAGCCATGATGGGATCTAAATATTTGGTCATGTTGGTAACTATTCTTTGTCCCAAACTTTGCTGCATGTTGAAACCAACTGGAGATCTTAACAAATATGGAAACGCAGCTCCTATGCCTAGGCATTCCCATCTAATTGCTCTGGGGTTGGGGGTGGAGGATCAGCTGGGCATCAGGATTTTTAAAAGCTCCCTAAGTAATATGAATGTGCAGAAAAGCCTGGGGACCACATAGGAAAAGGCATTTGGTCTAAGATATTTCTCTGAAGTATTAGCATTAGGAAACATTCAGGTGGCTGAGCCGTTAGAATTACTCTTCCCCACTGGGTTCTCCATTCTTTTTGCTCTTTTCACTTTGGACCAACTCTACTAATAAGGGAGACAGACATTTAAAATATAGCTCAAAGCCAGAATTCTTGGGATGATCCCCACTCTCTTACCTTCAGTCAATAGTAGGTTAGGTCAGATCATTATCTTCCAGTAGGAACTATATCTTGGTGTAGTAATCTAGAGAGAAGGTAATTAAATCCACATATAACTAGATTTAAAAGATGACAAAAAAAATTCATCCCCTGGGAACTCTGTATACTGCTGTGTGTGTAGCCAATATTTAGGAAATAGTTTTCCGTTCAGTAAACTGGTGTTTTAAGGAGGGAAAATGTAAAAGACATTTTAATGACAGTGGAGGAAAGGATTCTACAAGTCATGAATGAGTTTAACAGGGGGTTGTGGTGGTGTGGCTGGGTGGGGCAGTCAGTTTATCCTTAAGCTTATTTGTTGTTCTTAGACTTTCACAAATATGTTCAGGCATGGCAGAGGGTTGGAAAAGCCAAGAAGCAACCAGTATGTCCTGAGTCTCTGCATTACTACTGGCGATTCAGCTATGACTTCTGGTGTGGGACCAACTCCCTTGAAAATGTATGGATCTGATGGTGACAATTATAGGACTGTTTCTGGAAGCAGCTGTTGCCTATAGGGAGTAAGGCTGGCTTCTCAGATGTTGAGCTGCCTTTCCATCTGCTGAAAGGAAGAGCAACCAGAAGTCAAAAGCAGAACAATCACAAAAAGTGGGACCTGCACAGAAGCAATAGAAAAGAGAGGAGTGATGGGAGAGAAGGCAATAAAACCTTAATTACTTACCAGGAAGAGTACATTCTCTTAGTGTCTTTGGCACTAAAGATAAAAGCTATGTCCTCCACCGTCACTAATGGAAAGGAAATGAAGTGATGAGAAGATGCATTAGGGAGGCCGGGATCTGGGCCAGCTCACTGGTTTCATGGGCCCCAGGAAGACCCTAGAGTCTCATGACTCTCTGACTATGTCTCAAGTGAACAGTTACCTCCTTGCTATAGTCCCTTTGGTGTCCCTAAATGTTAGAATATTTTCAATTTAATTGTGGAGGCACGAGAACATCCATGGATATTTAGAATATCTGAGCAATTCTCAGCAGACATTAGGTGAGTTTGTTGTAGGTTGTCCCAGTTTTCCAGGGCTGCCCTAACACATTACCACAAATTGGGTGGCTTAAAACAGTAGAAATTTATTCTCTCGAAATTCTGGAGGCTGGAAGTCTGACGCCAAGGTGTCAGTGGGGTCGTGCCTGCTCAGAAGGCTCTGGGAAAGAATCCTTCCTTGCCTTATCCCCAGGTGGCTCCTGGCTATCCTTGGCATTCTGGGGCTTGGGGCTGCATCACTCCAGTCTTCGCCTGCATCACTCTCTTCCCTGTGTGTTTTCCTGTGTCTTCTCTTCTTGTATGTACCAGTCTTTGAATTTAGAGCTCACCCTAAATTCAGGATCACTTCATTTTGACACCCTTGCCTAATAACATCTAAAAAGACTGTTTCTGGCCAGTCATGGTGACCCACACCTGAAATACTAGCACTTTGGGAGGCCAAGGCAGGCAGATCACCTGAGGTCAGGAGTTCAAGACCATCCTGGGCAACATGGTGAAACCCCGTCTCTACTGAAAATACGAAAATTAGCTGGGCATAGTGGCAGATGCATGTAATCTCAGCTACTCAGGAGGCCGAGGCAAGAGAATCACTTGAACCTGGGAGGCAGAGGTTGCAGTGAGCCCAGATTACACCACTGCACTCTAGCCTGGGTGACAGAGCAAGACTCCGTCTCAAAAGAAAAAAAAAGATTATTTCTAAATAAAGTCACATTCTAAGGTTCCAAGTGAACATTAATTTGTTGGAGGGGGGCTGACACTATTCAGCTCACTACAAAGAGGAGAATACAAGAGGAAAAAAAGACTGACATATGGATTGAGAGCAGGGCCTAGAGCTGTGACTACCATTGGCTGTTCATTAGAAATACCTGGGCAAGGGCAGCCTTTAAAATCCCTATCCTGGCCCCAACTCCAGATATTCTCATTTAATCAACCTGGAATGGGGCCTGATTAACATAAACAATCTACGGGCTGAGCACAGAACATATATGGATAAAGGATAAAGAGGGTTGATCTAAAGTAATAAGGAGGAATGGTGTCTCAGGGGCGGAAGGAGCCTGGAGACCTACATGCAGCATTGAGAAGACTTCAGATTTGATTTGGTAATGTCTCCTAAAGAAAATGGGTTTGTGGGCTTTGAAAGACAAGTTGCCAGTTTGAGATGCCAAGTTTAGACTTGTAAGAATTCTTCTATAATATCTTAGATCTGTGGGAATGGTAACCTAGCCCAAAAATGCATATGGTGATAATGACACAGAATATGTGGGATAAATGTTGACCTGAAAAATCCAGAATATGGGGAATTGACTTACCTAAGAGGACTCTATGAATGAATTTTCTACTCAGGAACCAGGTCGTGTTCTAAGCCTCCTTTGCCCAGTTGTATATACACTATGCTCTGGAGTGATTCTGCTATATTTTCGGATTCTATTCTGGGGGACAGTTGGACATTCTTCTCCATACAAAAATTCAGGACATTTTTCTAAAGATCAAGCATCTACTTCTCTCTCTCTCTCTCTCTCTTTTTTTTTTGAGACAGAGTTTTTCTCTTTTGTCCAGGCTGGAGTGCAGTGACTCAATCTCCGCTCACTGAAGCCTCTGCTCCCTGGAGTCAAGTGATTCTCCTGTCTCAGCCTGCTGAGTAGCTGGGATTATAGGTGCCCACCACCATGCCTGGCTAATTTTTGTATTTTTAGTAGAGACGGGGTTTCACCATGTTGGCCAGGCTTGTCTTGAACTCCTGATGTCAGGTAATCCACCCATCTCGGCCTTGCAATGTGCTTGGATTACAGGTGTGAGCCACTGTGCCTGGCCAAGCATCTACTTCTAAAAGAGCTAACTCACTACCCAATATCCCTTTTTAATAGTGAGATCCAGATTAGTACTAAGCCATGTCAGTTAGTAGCTGCATGACCTTGGGCAGGTTATTTATCTTTGTTTTACAGATGAGTTTATTAATATCTACCTTAATGAGTTATTATCAGGATTAGATTGTTATGATATCTTATAAACATTATTTTTCTCTGTCTCTTCTCCATCCCAGATGATGAGACTTTTTTTAACCAAATAAACACTATAGATTATTGAATGACCTATGCAACTGTTATGTATGTTTTCTTTTCTTTACTTTTTTTTTTTGAGACAGAGTTTCACTCTTGTTACCCAGGCTGGAGTGTAATGGCGCGATCTTGGCTCACCGCAACCTCCGCCTCCTGAGTTCAGGCAATTCTCTTGCCTCAGCCTCCTGAGTAGCTGGGATTACAGGCACATGCCACCATGCCCAGCTACTTTTTTGTATTTTTAGTAGAGATGGGGTTTCACCATGTTGACCAGGATGGTCTTGATCTCTTGACCTTGTGATCCACCCGCCTCGGCCTCCCAAAGTGCTGGGATTACAGGCTTGAGCCACCACACCCGGCTATTTATGTTTTAAAAAGCAATGATATTATAATGGTACTAATAATGGCTGACATTCTCTGAATGCTTTATATGTGCTGAAAACTTGAAAAGATTTTGGCACATATAATTTCATTAGCTATTACAATGATTCTATTACCTCCTTGTAAAGAGAGAAATAATGTATATAATGTGCAGTAGATATATAAATGATATATATTTATGTAAATGATATAAATAACATATATAACTTATGTAATGTATCCATCTTCACAAATGAAGAAATTGCAAGGGTGCACAGCTCTTTTGACCTAAAAATTGCACATTATTCACTCTACTTTACAGTTCTTCCAACTCACTTGTGACCTATGTGAGGACAGGGGCCTATGTCAGGCAGGGCCAGTGACCAACTCATGGTTGCCTTTCAAAAAGTCCTTGTAAACACTTAGAACTATGTTTTCTAAAAGCCAGAATCGAGATGAATGAGCCTCAAGAGTGCTCAGTAAGTCTTTCTTCGTATTTACAAATATTGTGTCAATATTTTCATTTTAGAGTGTAAATTATCAAAAACAATTGCTAATTAAAAAATGAAAACAGGTAACATTCCATTAGTGTTTCATGAGTTAGAACAGTTTCATGAGAAAGCTTCATTATTTCTGATATATTTTTAGGCTATTGATACAAGTAAAGCTGAAGAATCTATAGATCCACAGGGTTGGAGAACCATTAAGAGGATAAAAGAAGATAAAAGGGGCATCACCTTTCACGAGTTCAAGTAAATCAGTTTTTAAATCTTGGCATAAAGCTTTATAACCCAGGTATTGACACATATAATGTCATTATGTTTTTATAGTCGTGTAATAGGTAATAAAAATATGCAGACTGTCCCCTGTCAGCAGGGATCTATATCTCTAAATTGATTAAAAGGAAATTAGGGATGAATAATACTTTACATATCTCCCAAAATAAGTACATTAAGCAGGATGTGGGGTTGGGGGGTAGACCCCAAAAGGATACAAGCAGAAACAAATAAACCTAATTGTATTGTAACTGTAATATTTTGCCTGTTGCACACAGCAAGTCAGTATACTGAGACTCTTGGTTTGCAGCAGAGAAAGATGTTTAATCATGGAGTTGCAGAACAAAGATGGGAGAAAACCTCAAATCCATCTCCCTGATGAGTTTGGGGCTAGGGTTTTTAAGGGTTTTGGAGTGGGCCGAAGTATGGAGATTGTTGGTTGGTTAAAGAGTACAGGATAAAGTCAGGGCACAGGGAGATGAAAAAGCTGTATTCTCAGCTGATCTCCCTTTTCTGTGAGGGTCTTCAAACTGGTTGCTGGAATTCAGGGTCTGAAAAACATCTTAAGCAATCTTTAAACAAAAGCCTATGATTCTAATGTCTATAGGAAAAATCCTGTCTATAGGAAAAATGTGGATGCAGATTAATTTTAGTTATAACTATATTTGTGTCCAGAATCCATTGTGCACTTTTTGTTCACCCTGTGGGAGTGGTTTCAGTATTACAAATGAAGAACATAACCACACTGAAGGGTGAAGGGTTCCCCTTGGCACTCTGAAGATTTGCCAAAAAAAAAAAATATCAACTTGCAAAGGCAAATTAATAGGAAAAAAATATTACAGTAGGTAGTCAGGCAGACATAAGCAGGGCAGGAGGGGCTTGTATTTCACAGGAACTACAGGCAACCATCAGGTGATGGTCAGGCTGTTATTAAGTGTCTTTCTAAAATAATAAGTGGTTGCAGCCAGCACCGGGGAACGGGAGTCTCCCAACAGACAGAAACACCTGAAACTGCTGATCAGCAGCTTCTCAATAAGATCTCAGAAACTGGGTGAATGGGCTCACACATGCAGATTCAAAGGCAAATGGCAGAGTTCAACTGGCATATAATCTCCTAAGAACATTCCACCGATAAGGGAAGAATGCCTCAAGGGAACATTCATACAACTCCAGTAAACATGCGGCACCCCTCAAGTGCTGGCAGGCCACTGTACAAGCAAACAGCCCAACCCCAAAGAGGAATCAGGGGAGGAATAACGCAGGCTCTGGAAAATGCCAACATGTAAAACCCCAAGTCAAAAGTCAGACTGTGCACTTGCTCTCTCAAGTGCGTGGCCCTCTTCCAAGTGTACTTCCTTTCATTATCTGTCTAA